TAGTAGCGATGCACTTGTTCCTAGTAGCAATGCACTTGTTCCTAGTAGCGATGCCCTTGTTCCTACTAGTGATGCGCTTGCTACTAGTAGCTTCTTGCTACTAGTAGTAATGCCCTGGTTACTAGTAGCGATGCACCTGTTACTAGTAGTAATGCCCTTAGCTACTAGTAGCGTCCTTGCTACAAGTGAAAACATCAGACGAGCACAGGGAGCTCCCGGGAATGTTTGCCAAACCCGGAGCCCGCCCAATCCTGTGTGCCACTTTTGCATGCTCATGGCGTGCGACAGGCGGTGTCTATCTTCAGTCAGGCACCCTTGCCCGATGCGCAGCTGTTTGGGTTGGGTATGGTGGCGTGGCAAAGAGGCCACCATTGGCAGAGGCTGGGGCGGTTCAGCCGTGTCAGCACATGGCTGGATGCCAATATTGGCTGGTGAGCACATTGGCTCCCCAAATTCCTGTCACTAGCTGCTTCAGCCTGCCAGGTCTTTGGAAGTGTTTTACTACGCAAGCAGCCTCTTCTCTGGGAAGGGAAGATGGGTGTTCTACTGACATCTCAGTGTCGTCCTTTTCCCGCTCACAAGCCAAATTCAATGGCAGAGCGTGATCTTTTTTTGGTGCTTTGTTTCATGTTATGTTATACATACTGTATATATGTGTTTTTTTCTCTAAGCTCAATAGTGCCATCAACACTTACATAGAGTATGTTAAGGACAATGCTCAAGCAAAAATCCACCCTGACACGGAGGTAAGGTATGATTTTGACGAGCAACTTTAATCAAGTACAATTTCTGTCTTTGCATTTGATGTTTGCATGCATGACCAACACCTCGCTGGACAAGGCCTTGAAGCTGTAGATCAGAGGCTGTTGAGCTGTGCCATAGGCGCCTGCCAGGATTCTGGACGGGCTGGTATTCCTTGAGTAAAGGGCAATTCAACAAGAGAGGAGCAAAAGAGAGTCAGTTTATTAAAGGGGCCCTTGCCTTCATTTGTGTGTGTGTGTTTTTTTTTAAACCTGTGGCCTGTGGTAATTGCCTTCTTACTTTTTGATCTCACCGACAATGCGGTGCAACAGTGCGTATTCGTAGTGTGAAGATGCGTACTCGTGAGTCAGCAGAACCTTCAGGAAGGGGACATCTTTGGGCAGATCCCTGCTTCACCTTGTTAGAGTGATAGAACTGGACTCCATGGATGGACATGCCGTTTTCCAATTGCTGCCATGAGAGTCCTGTTGCCCATAGCAGACCTTTAGGATTTATGGATGACTTTCTGGTTTATGATATTGAGCCCAAATGAGACACTCATGAGAAGCTTGTTTCTGATAGGTTCGGCAATAGAAGCTGTAGATGGCTAATCAGAAATCGCACACTGTTTGGCAGCTGCAAGGAGGGCGCTCAATGGCAAGAAGCTTTGCATCTCCTGGGCATGATGCCCAAAGGGCCTGGCAATCCCCAGGTGGGGCTCAAGGCTCATGCCCCATTCCGGAAAGGTGGTTGATGGAATGTTCTCAATTGTTCTCATACCTTGCAGCACGTGCGGTTGATAACTGCTTGATCGCCGACCTTGATCAGCATACATGCCACCCGTGATTCTGAACGTTTTCGAGCTCTAAGAGGACTGTTTCTAGTTTCTTGTGTGGAAATTGAGGGTCATACCCCTGTGTGATTGGGTTTTGAACAAAAATGACCACCACAGGCTACTACAGGTCCAATCTTTCTCAATACCTCCATCATCCTCCATCGACTCTTTACAGGAGGTCTCTTGTGAGACAAATAATGACGTGAAAGCCAGACAATTTGTTGTCTCCGAAAGACGTTGACACTTCCGCTCAGCACCGCGTCCCTGCCCTGGGTGCGGCCTGCAGCGCTTGCGAGCGGTGCTTACGGTGGAGGAAGGCTTTGTTACTTGCCGAAGGCCTGCTCGAAGAGGCGCCGGGCCGCATTCTGGTCGCTGTGAAAGTTAGCTTTATAGTTGTAATGGACTATAGCCGCCCTC